GCTCATATTTAAATGGTTGTCCACTAGGACTCCAAGATCCCTCTCACAGTTACTACTATTGAGCAAGGTACCACCTATACGGTACCTGTGCATTTCGTTTTTCTTGCCTAAATTGTAGGCAAGAACTCAGAACAGAGCTTGTATCTGTTGTCTTTCTGAAAATGAAAATGTATAGCATAGCCAGTGGGAAAAAGTAATTAATGCATTAAAACTTATTCCTATTACAGTTAGTCCTCAACATATGATCACAATAGACACCCCATAAGTCACAGTAGTCACAAAGTGGGTCATAGTGTGACCAAACTGATTTTGCAACCTTTTTGTGGTGGTCAATAAGTGAACCTATTGTTTGCTATGGGGCATTTTTGCGGAAAAAAACAGAAGTAAATGCTGATTTTCAACAAAAACATCATAGATTATGTCATCATTGGATGGCTATAAATATAGGCCAAGTGCTGAACACCCAAAATTTATCCACATAACCATGGGTGGGTGGGGGCAGCCATCAGAACTAGTCATATGTACATTTGGGGCAGTCCATCGGAACTTTGAATAGTCACTAAATCAAGATTATAGCTGAGGTCATTGAGCAAAAGCCACTAGCCTATAGGAACAGATTCTTCCTGATTAACAGTTAACATTTAGAAGGGACTTTATAGGTCATCTAGTCCAGCCCCCCACTCAAGCAGGAGACCCTACACCATTTCTGACAAATGGCAGTCCAATCTCTTCTTTGTGTTGTGGAGCTCCCACAACTTCCGAGGGCAAGCTGTTCCATTGGTTGATTGTTCTCACTGTCAGAAAGTTCCTCCTCATTTCTAGGTTGAATCTGTCCTTGGTCAGTTTCCATCCATTATTTCTTGTCTGTACTTCAGGTGCTTTGGAAAATAATTGGACACCCCTCCTCTCTGTGGCTGCCCCTCAAATATTGGAACACTACTATAATTTCTCCCCTGGTCCTTCTCTTCACTAGACTAGCCATGCCCAGTTCCTGCAACCGTTCTTCATATGTTTTAGTCTCCAATCCCCTAATCATCCTGGTTGCTCTCCTCTGCACTTTTTCCTAGAGTCTCAACATCTTTTTTATAGTGGGAATATAAATTATTTTTTAAAGGAATAATTGTGCTTCTTGCCAAATGGTATCAAGTTGTTCTACTGTCTGAAAAGTGAAAGTGCTGAGAGATGAGGAAATCGGTTATTTTCTTACCTCCTTTTCTGCCAGACTGCATCATCATTCTACGTCGGACAGTGTCAAAAGGGTAAGATGTCAGACCTGCTACTGCAGTTACAGTCTGGGCTATCATCCAGCTAACTATGATGTGCACATTCTTCGGATCAGGCAGCATGCCTATTATCAGGAGAAGATTGCCCAAAGATGAAGAAATAGAGAAAAATTATCACTACCACTTATAATTTCTGTTCCATGCACCAGCAGATCTATGATACTCTGTCTACATCAGTGTTTCTCAACCTTGGCAACTTNACCCTGAGCCGGTGAGATTTGAACCGCTGAACTGCTGATCTAGCAGTAGCCTGCAGTGCTGCATTTAACCACTGCGCCACCTTGGCTCTTATAAACCAGACCTCTTTCTGGGAAAGCTCTGCATTGCCAAAACTCTCCACCCACTGCTTCTCTAGATGCACATTCCATCACAAAGGCTGACAGTAATAGACAATCATGACTCATTGGGTCAACCTTTTCACATATAATATAGGCTGGTGCCATTACCTCCCCCCTCATGACCCTCAGCAGAGCTCTAATGAAGCAGACTACTACTACTCTTCCTCTGGTCAGTTGCCAAATTGCCTGCTACTTTGCTAAGGGGAACAAAGGGAGCCACAGAATGCAAAGAAAACTATCCTCACTCTCCAACCCCGCATGTCCCCAAGGCCCCTTCAGGAAGGAAAAGAGTCCATCCATTGATCACTGACCTTCCTTAGCCAGCTCTACCGTGTCTGCAGGCATCTAAGTCTACAGGCATCTTCACCTCACCACTCTGTCATTAAAAGATTTCAAATTTCGGCCTCAATTTCAAAGCAGCCAATCCCTGGCCACCTGTCAGGCCTTGTTGCCAGTTGATTGGATGCAGGGAGGGAGAGTGGGGATACACTCCTCCCATATTATTTTGTGTCTTGGAAGTGTAGGGGAACACAAGTGGTAACAAGTTGGCCAAATTTCAATCCCACGGGAACAATTCATCCTGTTTTGAATGAATGCTGTGTTACTGTGAGGCAAAATCTGTCAAGGCATAGATTTCAAGGTACTGTCACTGAATGTTCTAGCAGCTCAAGCTGCTTTTGCTTTTTCCAACAATTACAAATAAAACAAAATGGATGCTGTTACCATATGTCGAAGATCATACAATACTAAACCGAAAAAGAAAACTGCAGGTGAGCTGTATCTAACTACACAATAGTCCTCAACTTACAAATACAATTGAGCCCAAGATTTATGTTGCAAAGTGAGACAGTTGTTAAGTGAACTTTACTTCGTTTCATGACCTTCCTTGCCACAGTTGTGAATCACTCTAGTTGTTAAGGTAGTAATCCAGTTGTTAAGTGAATCTGGTTTTCCCATTGACTTTGCTTGTCAGAGGGCTGCAACAGGCTAATTTAAATTTTAATCACAGGGCTATGGAGATAGTACAATGCTTGTAAGTGTGAAAAATGGTTGTAAGTCACCTTTTTCAGTGCCGTAACTTCAAGTGGTCACTAAATAAACTGCAAATTGAGGACTTCCTGTGCACATTCAGTAGCAACCTACTTTTTAGCCCCCGTCACAAGCAAGAGAAGATATGATCCCAAAGTTTAAAAATATGGTCGTTATTATAATCACTACTAAATATTTAGAGAGATTAAGGCCTGTGAAAAAAACAATGCGATTTTCTCATCCAGGCTATCACATCTCTGGGAATGTGCATGAACATTGCAATCCTAACGACAAAAAGGAGATACATTTGACATAAGTATTTTTTCCAATATATGGACAAAATGGTCAAAGAAAATTAGGAGAAATGAAGAACAGCATTTCCTGTGAAGTGATTTGCTATTTTTTGCTGCAGAGATTATAGCTGTTTTGTCTAATGAGAGTCAGAATCACCCGCACCCTTGCTAACTTAGTGAGAAAAAGTACCCTGTTCTCTGCCCCCTCTCTTCTACCATAACACCACACATGTGCACACACACTCATTTCTGCACAGAGTCTTCACTATTTGGAAGCTACCATCCTTGAAAGAACTTCTGTAGTGGATTTATCACACACAAAAAAGGTTTAAATTCTACTATTTATTAAACTCACTTTTTAGGTGTTTAAATACTTTTATCAACACACCTCCTCAGGAAATATTTTTATTCATAGGAATATATTATTGATATTTGTCAAATAAATGTATATACAAAGACCTCTTCAACTTTCCATACAAAAAAGTTTGACTTATGTCACAAACCATCACTGAACAATCTTATAGTTTCCCAATTTCACCTCTCAACTAGATTTCACCCACAGTAACTACCTATGTTTCTGTAGGAAATATTTAGTTGCCTTTAACTCGTGTGTAAATATGTAACTAAACAGAACATAAGAGTCAAGTGGTTTGACTTGCTTAGACATATTTCTTGATCTCATCATACAAGACTAATACAAAAGCACCTCCCATGCCTCTTAGCACATTGGACCAGGCACCTTTGAAAAAAGCCTTGCCTCCTTCATCTTTAGCAATCTTCTTCCAGCAATCGATTGTACCCTTGTACATGATGTCAGCTGTGGAGTAAACATATTCAGGTAAATTACTGGAAAAGAGAAATAACACAATCATTTCTCTAACTCCAACAAATCAAACATAATTGGAAAGTTGCTCTCTAGTTCTTATTTCAAAGTAAGAACTTCAAAACCTTACTTCAAAGATTTGTAAAATGAAATTGCATTTTGTCTCTTAACATAACCTTGAAGCTCAAGAGACAATTTCATCTCTCTGTGTTCATTCTTTAATATGTTCCAAATAAAAAGGCAGACATTAAACTGAAGCTTTCTTAGCATAAATAATTATATGCTCCTGAAGATGGTGAACTAGAGGTAGCTGGGAAGCTAAATCAAGCCCCAGTGGTCCTGTTGGAGTGGTTGACACTGGAGATGGGGCTCTATACACAGAAGCCTTGCTGCCATCTCATCCTACTTGCAGAAGTTCCCAGTCAGCCACCATTCTCCATGTGATGAAAATGGTTTATTTAACATATCCCTACACCAGGGGTGTCAAACTCACATCATCACAGAAGTGTCAGGTGACATATTGGGACTTCCCCCCTCCTTTCATTAAACTAGGCATGGACATGGCCAGTGCATGACTCATCTGGCCCATGGACCAGGAGTTTGACAGTCCTGCCCTACACTGAGGTAGATAATACTCGAGTAAGCTAACATGAATAGCCTTGCCTCTTGCACAAACCAGTTGTTTTCTGCCCTTCCTTTTCTTCTCAAAAGGGAAGATGTGAGTGAAAATGGAAAGAAGGGAATATGGATAAGGGAATTTGATGAATTGGAGCTCTACCCCAGATTCCAGGACACAGAAGAGAAAAAAATACCAATGATGATAGACATAAGAGAATTTTTTTCAGAAGCAAGATTGATAAACAAAGACAAGTTAACTTTAGTAGCAATTGGTGGGCAAGGAGATTATCTGAGAGACCCTTCAAGCAACAAAGTGCGGAGAGAAGCCTATAAAAACCTTATAAAGGAGATAAAAAGAAGACTGACTCTACAATTGGCAAGAGAGATAAAGACTGTTTTGTTACTGGAAAGATACAGGTTGACTATGAAAGTTGGTAATTAAAAAAATAGTTTTTTATTATTGTGATTAATAAGTAGGAATTTTGTAACTCCTAGATTGTTTTAGATTGTTATTAAATGATTACTTGTTAACAATTAATTAACCATAAATAATAATAATGAAATGATAATGGATACAGCGTAATGATATATACATGTATCTTTCCAGTAACAAAACAGTCTTATCTCTCTTGCCAATTGTGGAGTCAATCTACTTTTTATCTCCTTTATAAGGTTTTTTATAGGCTTCTCTCCACACTTTGTTGCTTGAAGGGTCTCTCAGATAAACTCCTTGCCCACCAGTTGCTACTAAAGTTAACTTGTCTTTATCAATCTTGCTTCTGAAAAAATGTCTCTTCTTATGTCTATCATCATTAATATTTTTTTTCTCTTCTGTGTCCTG